GATAGGTGATGTTTCAGGCAATGGTCCTTCTTCATAGCACACGTATGCAGCCCCATGTTGTCAGCACAAGAGAAGTAGGTAGCTTCCTTCGTACGAGGCAACGAGACTCACTCTCTCATCACGGGTGAAAATTCCACATTCCTATGGCGCATTAAACTCAACTCTCATGCTGCCGTTATGTAATGATTTAGCTGACACTGGACCTGCAATCGAGGGATCCATGGTGCGTATACCATCGCTCTCTCAGCGCAACAGTAAATAAGTCATACTAAAAAAAAACTTGTTTTAAACACGCTTTCATGAAATGTACTCGTAATGGAAGAACTCCACAACTCCAGGAAGTGGCCTCGAAGCTTGCCATAACGTAAGAGGCCGTGGTCAGTTACAGCCAACGCCAGTTGAGCGTGGACAATTAGACCAAAGCCAAAACATAACATCTAAAAAATAATGTTTTTAAAAACATGTTTTTTTTATTTTTTTATGATAGAATATAGTATTGTCATCAGTATGACGTAAGTATGCCAAGTTTGCAGTAGATACCATATTGGGAAGTGGGTTAAAATTGAGTTACAAGATTTGAGGATACGACAACAACAGTGAGTTAAATAAAAAAAAGTGTAAAAAAAGAGTGTAAAAAAAATTAACCCGTAAAAACAAAGTTTTTCACTCTAAATCCTTTATATGCGTGGCGGCTAGAGTCCTCTCGTCCTCTGGCTTGAGATGGCTGCCACCTATGGGTCAGATAATTGTCTGCCAGTATTAAGCAATTGGTAATTAAATATTTATTTATCTTTCCCTAAACAGTGTAAAATTTTGGAAAACATTTTTCACGAAAATTAATTGTCACGCACAACGAGTCTGTGTGGAAAATGTCAGCTCGATTGGATCACGGGAAGTGGGTTAAAAAACGACCAAAAGATTTGCACGGTCGTAAGCAAGCAAGCAAGCACGCAAGCAAGCAAGCAAGTGAACTTAATATAAAGGATTTAAAAACACAATGGCCAGGCTTCTTAAACTCCCCTTCCAACCAACCCCACCTGCCCACCAAGCGATAACAAATGGGTACACGCCACAGAAAGGTAATCGCTCAAGTTACTGCTAATATAAGCTTCCTCGGTTCAAGAAAAAAAAACATTAACTCGCATCTCGTAAAATTCTGATACATACCCGTCAAAGCCTCATCAGTGCCTACCGTATTACAGACCAATTCCGACCTTATTGGTCACTCCGTGCCCTTAGAAATCTCAACGTTCATCCTACAAAATCCCATCATAAGGGATAAAATCACAAACAAATAAAAAAACGCTTTTGCCCGTATTGAAACGGCTGTACGCCGTATGGACCTGAAAACTCAATTTCCCCTGTAAAAGAATAACAGGGGACAGCCGTATGGGGGTGACAGCTATGATACCTATCCAAACACATTCCTGCGAAGGGAGCTGGCCGACGTGAGTAGGTTAAACGTTATAGCCTAAACGTGATGTAAGTGTACCTTTCGCGTAACACTTTCATGAATCGCAAATGATTGACTCTCACACGCAAGGTTTGACGTATGTATGGTGAGTGACAATAGATGCCTGATTGTGTGCCTACGATTAGCTCCCTGATTCACCCAAGCAGAACCGTGCATCATGAGGTGGACGGGTGGCTTCACAAGTCAGATTGCTGAGCTTGCATCGCTGAGATCCGAGCTTCAAATGCAGGCAGCCAACTGTTAACACATTCCTGCGGAGGGAGCTGGTAGGAACGTCGGGTTGCTCGGTCAATGGCCAGGGTGGTGTATTCTGCAAATATGGCCGACTGTGAGAACGGGCACAAGCCGGCATGAGTAGGTTAAACGTTGAGTTTTATAAGGGCACCACGGGGTGACCAGCTCCTCCCCACCCAGCCCCACCCCACCCAGCCCCACCCCACCCAGCCCCACCCCACCCAGCCCCACCCCACCCAGCCCCCTCCCCCCAGCCCCACCCCTCCCATTATTGTATGCACGACGGACGGACGGACACAATAATCCCCTGTGGGCTTGTGTAACCAGGTGGTTCCTACCAGTAACAGGACCCTCCTGTCAACCCAGTTCAGACCCCCTAAGGTCGGTCACGGAATTGTTGCCTCTTCCCACACAAAATGGTTGCTTGAATCAATGCACAATTATTTGTGCCATCCGATCCAGGATCTTTGTTCTTGGGACCACGCAGAGAACAGGTTCCAGTACATATTCTTGGTTCTTTCGGTAAAGTCACTTCGATAGAAAATATAAATAATAGAATTTAATTAAAAATAAATTGAAAATAATACAAGCAAAAAAAATAATAAAAGCTTTTTTTTTATTTGCAATTACATTTTATTTAACTATTTTGATCGTGGCTTTTTGCTTTTATTTTCAATGTATTTTTCTTTTATTCTTTTATTTTCTATCTACGTGACTTTACCGAAAGAACCAAGAATATGAATTCCTGCAGTCACGAAAGTTCTCAGTCAAAATTTAGGTTCCAGCAATTGTGCCGTGTGGAGAACGACGCCGCATCTCTATAAAAGTGCTAGAGCCCAATTACGGCGTTTGTGATATGAACAGCGCTCATTTAATAATTGTTACCACGTTAGCGCTGTAGGATGTTTAAAAAATCATTTTACAGACGCGTATCAATCCACCGTTAGCAGGGCAAGGGTCTCCCCCACGGCGGTACAGGTCGTGAAGGGGGCAATGACGATACGTCACCACGCTGGTGACAGTGAGGAGCATAGACGTGAAAGAATCGTACAGCACAACATTGCTTTTTTTACTCACTAATTAATTCTTCTGGGGGTACCAAATCATAAAAAATTAACCCGTAAAAACAAAGTTTATCACTATAAATCCTTTATATGCGTGGCGGCTAGAGTCCTCTCGTCCTCTGGCTTGAGATGGCTGCCACCTATGGGTCAGATGATTGCCTGCCACCATTAAGCAATTGGTAATTACATATAATTTGTTCCTAAAAAGTGTCAAATTTAGGAAAAAAATATTCACGAAAATTAATTGTCACGCACAACAAGTCTGTGTGCAAAATGTTAGCTCGATTGGATCACGGGAAGTGGGTTAAAAAACGACCGAAAGATTTGCACGGTCGTAAGCGCGCAAGCAAGCAAGTGAACTTAATATAAAGGATTTAAAAATGGCCGAGGCTATTAAATATTGTATTTATGGGACAATATTTTTCCCAGGGGTATTACTTAATTCCGTGACTGGGGTACCAATCAATCCGAAATCAGTGCCACACTCCGCGATGTCAAAACGTCAAACATTAGCATTAAAAAAATCCGTTGTCGAAAAATTCAACTTTTAATAGTGCATCGTGCACAGCTCGTCGAGATGATTCGATTGCCGCATCGCTGACCATCAACACAGACTAAAAATGAATTTTTATACTCTTTGGTTCTTTCGGTAAAGTCACGTAGTTAGAAATTGAATTAAAACAAATCACGACGTTTCGATCGCAACACAAGCGGTCGTCATCAGTCACGAAAGTTTCAAACCAAGAATGAATTTTGACTTTAAACTTTCGTGAATGCAGGGATTCATATTTTCGATTCTTTCGGTAAAGTCACGTAGATAAAAAATATATTTTTTATTCAATTTTAAAATTGAAAATAATAAAAGCAAAAAACCCACGACGTTTCGATAGCAACACAAGCGGGGGGGGGGGGGCAAGCCTCAAAATGCAACTGCTTCTAAGGTTTTTTTGCTTTGATTATTTTCAACTTATTTGTAAAAATATATATTTCATTTTTCTTTTCTAACTACGTGACTTTCCCGAAAGAACAAAGAATAACACCATTGGAACCTCCTTTGCCAGTAGCAAAATGAGAATTGTTTTTTTACCCTTTTATCTGCCAACAAAACTGACACCTTTTTTTACAAGGAGTCATGTTTGCATTTACCACAATACCTGCGGTCGGAATACAAACAAAAAATTAACCAAGAAAAAGACTAAAAATGACTGCATCAAGGACATGGTACCGCCACAAGGTTCAATTTACCTATTTTCAATGAGAAAACTTGTGAATTTGTGGCTTTCGTTCACGTAAAGCCCTGGTCACAAAAGCAGTTTGTGTGGCATAGCCATTTTCTAAACTTTAGGCATAGGCAATTAAAAAAAGTCACATTTAGTACCCAGGAACAAAAATTGTGTTACTCTTTGGTTCTTTCGATAAAGCCAGGTAGGTATAAAATAAAGAAAATTAAACCACGACGTTTCGGCCACAACACAAGCGTCCTTCATCAGGTGGGACAACCACAGCAACTTGTTATGACTTTACCGAATGAACCAAAGAGTATTGATCGTTGCGGCCACGAAAACTTCAAATCTAGAATAAAATCACCTATTCCCATTCTTTTACTTCCAAGTACTAAGTCTAATCATCAACATCTGGATTGAGGTCTTCCTCGTGCGACTGAATACCACTCCCAATGCCTCTCAGTGCCATGTCAAAGTAACATGTGGAGATGTTCACTTTGACACGGAACAATACGATGTGTCCATGCGCGTCTCTGTATGGGGCACGGCAGTGAAGTTGTTAGCGCTACGAACCCGGCCACCAGAGTTCGACTCCAGCCCACGGCCAACAGCACCGGGTCCTAGGCCTCCCCCCTAGGTCGACTCGGCCTCAAATGAGTACCTGCTGCGGTGGTGTAGCAAACACCGCCAACTGGCAGAGACAAAGGCGGCCGGGCGTGGTGGTGGTGCTTGCCACCCACGCCCTCCTCGTGGTGCCACAGTGCCGGCCTTCATAGCTGCTACTCGCTAACAGCACTTGCCCCTGCAGTCTGTTACAGGCTACACGGGGATCTTTGTCTTTGCATGTCTGCCAACACGTTTTTTTGGTTTTTCTGCTGGAGGCGGCGCCACGTTCCAAACTAAAATCGATGCCCACCACTCTTTTTAAAAACCCTACTCGCAAACAACAACAACAACAACAATCTCCACCAACAACCCACCCAACCACCCACCGCACCCTCTCACCGTCGCTCCTATTGATCATGACCACCATGCCGACCTCGACTCCTTTCGTGGCCATTGCTGGGCTTCACTCTCCAACGAAAATTCAAAGAAAATCAACCAAAAAAAAATTGGGGAGGCACCTAAAAATAACACACAACAACAACGACGACGACGAAGTTGGTTGAAGGGGAGGTTTGTTTGTCTGACCTCTACCAACTCCACACAAACCCACAGACAACAACAACCACCGCCGCTGCTCAGCGTCTCTGCCGGTTCCTTTTTTAAACTTAGCGGCCTTATGGGAGGTTCACTTGTGGCACCTCCCAACAAACTACTCCCCCCCCCCTCGTACGTCATCACGCACGCCTTGCGTCATCACGCACGCGGGCCGCGCGCGCGTTGCGTCATCACGCACGCACGCGAGCCGCGCGTGTCTGCGTCATCACGCACGCGAGCCGCGCGCGTTGCGTCATCACGCACGAGAGCCGCGCGTGGCTGCGTCATCACGCACGCACGCGAGCCGCGCGCGTTGCGTCATCACGCACGAGAGCCGCGCGTGCCTGCGTCATCACGCACGCACGCACGCGGACGTGATGTTATAATGTTGTTAGTATTACGATTATTATGGAATCAACTTTGGTCCGTTCGTTTATTCTTTAACAGTGTGCACTGTTTAATGGAATTTCATATTAAACTTTCGTCTGTCCGTGCAATGTTGAACGGTAGCTCAATTTTGATTCGCGCACTTACCCCCCCCCACCACCCCTTCGTGACGTCATCGCGCACGGCGTCTGCGTGATGACGTTGCGGGAACAGCGGTCGCGCGCATCCCCCCCACCACCCCTTCGTGACGTCATCACGCACGGCGTCTGCGTGATGACGTTGCGGGAACAGCGGTCGCGCGCATCCCCACCACCATCCCGTCGTGACGTCATCGCGCACGGCGTCTGCGTGATGACGTTGCGGGAACAGCGGTCGCGCGCATCCCCCCCACCACCCCTTCGTGACGTCATCACGCACGGCGTCTGCGTGATGACGTTGCGGGAACAGCGGTCGCGCGCATCCCCCCCACCACCCCTTCGTGACGTCATCACGCACGGCGTCTGCGTGATGACGTTGCGGGAACAGCGGTCGCGCGCATCCCCACCACCACCCCTTCGTGACGTCATCACGCACGGCGTCTACGTGATGACGTTGCGGGAACAGCGGTCGCGCGCATCCCCCCCACCACCCCTTCGTGACGTCATCACGCACGGCGTCTGCGTGATTACGTTGCGGGAACAACGGTCGCGCGCCTCCCCCCCCCACCGTGACGTCATCGCGCACGGCGTCTGCGTGATGACGTTACGGGAACAACGGTCGCGCGCCTCCCCCACCATCCCGTCGTGACGTCATCGCGCACAGCGGCTGCGTGATGACGTTGCGGGAACAACGGTCGCGCGCCTCCCCCACCATCCCGTCGTGACGTCATCGCGCACAGCGGCTGCGTGATGACGTTGCGGGAACAACGGTCGCGCGCCTCCCCACCATCCCGTCGTGACGTCATCGCGCACGGCGTCTGCGTGATGACGTTGCGGGAACAACGGTCGCGCGCCTCCCCCACCATCCCGTCGTGACGTCATCACGCACAGCGGCTGCGTGATGACGTTGCGGGAACAACGGTCGCGCGCCTCCCCCACCATCCCGTCGTGACGTCATCGCGCACGGCGTCTGCGTGATGACGTTGCGGGAACAACGGTCGCGCGCCTCCCCCACCATCCCGTCGTGACGTCATCACGCACAGCGGCTGCGTGATGACGTTGCGGGAACGGTCGCGCGCGCCCCACCCCCCCCACGTCGTGTGACGTCATCGCGCACGGCGGTGGCGTCATCGCGGCGCTTTGAAAGGGCTCGCGGGTGACGGAAATGTAATGTGACGTCACGCGAAAAGGTGAAAGCGTCGGATGACGTCATCGCGCGGCATTCCAGTAAGCGGGACCCAGATATGGAGATGATTACGTGAAGAACCTTATACAATTGACTGTGTCGGGTGGTGGCGGGTTTAACGACACATTTAAATATCTACACGATCTAACCCCCCCCCCCCCCCAAAAAAAAATCCCATTGTTTTATGGATATAGATGCTGCTAAAAAAACACATTCCTCCTGCGGAGGGAGCTGGTAGGAACGTTGAGTTGCTCGGTCAATGGCCAGGGTCAACGGCGGCGTGGTGTATTCCGCAAATATGCCCGACTGTGAGGGCGGGCACAAGCCGGCGTGAGTAGGTTAAACGTTGAGTTTGATAAGGGCACCATAGGGTGACCAGCCCCTCCCCACCCCCCACCCAGCCCCTCCCCACCCAGCCCCACCCCTCCTACCCCCCACCCAGCCCCTCCCCTCTCCACCCAGCCCCACCTCTCCCACCCCCCACCCAGCCCCTCCCCACCCCACCCAGCCCCACCTCTCCCATTTTTTGATGCACGACGAACAGACGGACACAATAATCCCCTGTGGGCTGGTGGAACCAGGTGGTTCCTACCAGTATAACATAGTGTATTGTGTAGTATATAGTGTAGTGTATAGTACTGGACAGTAGAACCCATCTTAACGACCAGCCCCTGTTAACAATTCTTTCCCTTAACGACAAAAACTCCATAGAGGCCAATGTGTAGTGTATAGTAATGTAGTGTATTGTGTAGTATATAGTGTAGTGGTGTATAGTACTGGACATTATAACCCCTCTTAACGACCAGCCCCTGTTAACGACGAGCCTCCATAGAGCAAAATGTGTAGTGTATAGTGTAGTTTAGTGTATTATATAGTAGTGTAGTGTATAGTGTAGTATATATTAGTGTATTGTATCTAGTAATGTATAGTGCAGTGTATAGTGTAGTATATAGTAGTGTACTGTACAGTAATGTATAGTGTAGTGTATAGTAATGCATATTGCAGTGTATGATGTAGTGTATATTAGTGTAGTGTGTAGTACTGTACAATATAACCCCTGTTAACGACTAATCGCTTAACGACGGCCCTCCATAGAGCCCAATGTGTCCGCTTACCGACCATTCCCCTGTTGTAGGTACAGTAAATATGAATGCATCAATTAACCATGTTTTAAAAAAATATATGTTTATAATGTATCTTTATCTATTAATATATATTGTTTAAATATTACAAAGTACGTTTTTTTGGATGAAAAAGGGGAACTTTGGATGCCACGAATTAAGCCTTTAACGTGAATTTCCTATATTCGCTTAACGACCAAATCTCTTAGCGACTGGTTTCGTGGAACCATTTACCGTCGTTAGCATTTATGAAATTGCATAAACAAAAGCACACACACACACATCATGCATACGTAAACAAGTATTTAATGAGGGAACGGAAGAATTCTAAATTAAATAATAAACACATCTCCACGAGGCCACAACGTGGTGTATATCGTAAGCCTCCTGAATTTATGTTTTGACATCCGAACATACCAAGTAAATAAATATTCTGATTCTGAAAGTTTTGTAAAAATGGCAATCAAACTAGGGGTTCTGGATAAAAATGCAATAAAAAAATTGGCAAATTCTGCGAAAAATGTAAAATATATAAAGCAAAACGATGAATCCTGAATTCTACATCCGCAATGCCCTGAATACGATTAACCTTTTAATTCTATAATGTTCCAGTAGAATTTCCCTTAACCATCACCCTCGTGTATATGTTCAACTTCTTTCGCACCGTACGTAGCCAACTGCGCTAATCGGACGTTCAGGGGAAGGACAACAAACCAAACACAAACGGCAGCTCTAAAGAAATTAGTTTTCAATCTCAATGATTTAAAAGTGCATAGCACCCAGTGGCTTCCTAATACCGGAAGAGCTTTCCAGACGGCCGCAGAAGCGCATCTGAAAGCGCGCGATGCAGCGACCATCTTTGTTTGATGGTTCGCTAAAAGATATTATCTAGCCATGTAATAATTCCACGCTCTCAAACGCAACCCCAGCTATTCGATAAATTATCCCAAATCGGGGGTTTAAATCATTTCCAGAATTATGGAATTTCTTTGCCTCGTTTTTAACATCTAGATGTTTTTCTCTCTCACTTTGCCGTTTTTCTTGCCATTATAGCCTAAACGTGATGTAAGTGTACCTTTCGCGTAACACTTGCATGAATCGCAAATGATTGACTCTCACACGCAAGGTTCGACGTATGTATGGTGAGTGTGACAATAGATGCCTGATTGTGTGCCTACGATTAGCTCCCTGATTCACCCAAGCAGAACCGTGCATCATGAGGTGGACGGGTGGCTTCACAAGTCAGATTGCTGAGCTTGCATCGCTGAGATGCGAGCTTCAAATGCAGGCAGCCAACTGTTAACACATTCCTGCGGAGGGAGCTGGTAGGAACGTCGGGTTGCTCGGTCAATGGCCAGGGTGGTGTATTCTGCAAATATGGCCGACTGTGAGGACGGGCACAAGCCGGCATGAGTAGGTTAAACGTTGAGTTTTATAAGGGCACCACGGGGTGACCAGCCCCTCCCCACCCACCCAGCCCCACCCTCCCCAGCCAGCCCCTCCCCCCTCTCCCCACCCAGCCCCTCCCTCCCCACCCAGCCCCTCCCTGAACGACGGACGGAAGCAATAATCCCCTGTGGGCTGGTGTAACCAGGAGGTTCTTACCAGTATTAACCGGGTGAGAAAGTGATGCCCCCACACTGTGTAATCCAGAGGTCATTTGAAGACATCTCAGGAGTAGTTGTACAATATATCCGCTTCCACGGGCCATTATCTAACATGAACAGTGGCACCCGCTCGACGAATAAATTTGGGGAAACAAGACAAAAAATTTTTTTTTTTACAAGAGGCGTTAGTTCTCCGATACGTTTTCAGGTTGTATCACTATCGTTCGGCATGACGGTCTGCCGTTTCGCTCCACGCGCCGAGAGTTTCTCTCGCAAATATAAATCGACACGCGCTGGAGGGACGACCCCCGAAAACGCAGCGAGAGAGCCCCGCCATGCAACCGCTTAAAAACCTACGCGGTAGCAAAAGAGGAGTTCTGAATCTCCCATCCGCCATCGCAGTGGACCGGGCTATTCGCTTCCCCGGAACGCTGCGCACCCCCCTCCCCGGCGTGCTTCAGCAGGTGCACCTTGAGGTTGCAGAGTCGCGTGAATCCTTGGGCACACACGTCGCAGCCGAACGGCTTCTCGCCTTTGTGGCTGCGCTGGTGCCTCTTCATGTTGCTGCGCTTGGAGAAGGCGCGGCCGCACGCCTCGCACCGGTAGGGTCGTTCGCCCGTGTGCGTACGGGTGTGCCGCCGGTAGTTGGAGTACTCCGCGAAAGCGCGGCTGCACACGTCGCAACGGAAGGGGCGCTCACGCACCGCCGTTGCCGCCGTCGCTGCTGCCGAGGGCGCGACGCCTGCCGCTGCCGCCGCGGTGACCGCCACCGACGGCCACGCCGCCGCCGCCGCCGCCGCCGGGCTGTCGCGACAGTCGCCGCTGTCGGCGGGGAGCCCTCGTCCCGGTGAGCAATCCGGTGAGCATTTCACCGGGAGGGTCGACTCGTGCCAGTCTTGTGGCTCAGCGCGGCATCGAACGGCGGCTTTCGTGTCGTCAATTACCGCGGCGGTGGCGGGGATGGTGGCGGCGGCGGTGGCGGCGGTGGTGGAATCCTCGGAGAGTTCTTCGATCTTAATGGCGACTTTGGGCTGCAGGGCGCCGTCTTCGATGAAGAATTCGGAGTGGCCTCGCAGAGGTTCTGCACGAGAGAGGACGCTCCCTTAAGGTTTATAGGTAGCGTACGTAAGTCATAGCAGATACTACATTGCACGTCGGCACGTCAATGTTGCCGATGCCTGTGTCGGAAGGAAGAGCATTCCAGACGGCCGCAAAACCAGCGCATATGAAAGCGCATGATCCGGTCACCACCGTCCTGGTTCAATGGCTAGCCAAAAGCCGCTGCTGCGAGGACGACCGGAGTTTGCGTGCTCCTCGATTAAATCAGCAAGATATTGTGGTTAATTTGTGGTAAGCACTTTGCGCGTAATGAGTGCGACCTCACAATGTATTTGCTCGGCAGCAAGAAGCCAATCCAGCTCGGCGAGCACTGGACGGACACGATCTTGCAGTACCCGTCACGACACGTGCCAAAGGACTTTGTACACGCTGCAGCTTGGTAATGTTTTTTTTTGCCAAAGTGATAGTTTTAAAATCCTTTATATTAAGTTCGCTTGCTTGCTTGCTTGCGTGCTTGCGTGCTTGCGTGCTTGCTTGCTTACGACCGTGCAAACCTTTTGGTCGTTTTTTAACCCACTTCCCGTGATCCAATCGAGTTGACATTTTGCACACAGACTCGTTGTGCGTGACAATTTATTTTCGTGAAAATTCTTTTCCATAACTTTACACTTTTTAGGAATTTTTTTTATATTTAATTACCAATTGCTTAATGGTGGCAGGCAATCATCTGACCCATAGGTGGCAGCCATCTCAAGCCAGAGGACGAGAGGACTCTAGCCGCCACGCATATAAAGGATTTAGAGTGAAAAACTTTGTTTTTACGGGTTATACTTATGTTCAATCAACTCCTCCCACCATGCCCATCGCCCACACTGGCCCAGCGTCCGGCCACACTCACCTGCGGGCTCCTGGCTGTCCGGACCCTCAGCTCCTTGTACCGGGGTCCACGGTTCCTCAGCATCGGTAAATTCACCCAAGGTACCTGAGAGGCACACAGACCGGGCACGCGTCATAAGTACAGGCTACGGTGGTCTGCCACACATTTAGCACTAAATTGGAAGTAGAATAACCAATAATATCCGGCTGGCTGACGGTATGGTTAAGAGTGCCAACCTCACGATCTATTGGTGATCACATCTTCAGCCATGAACTATCCATTGGTGGATTAAGTCTTCCCTACGCCATTGGGATGCTACAAACCATCGACTGCGCACGAACTGATTTCATCGTTTCGTCTGTACCTTGGCTGCTATTTCATCACCACTCATAACCCATGGCCATCACCCCTTCTGGCAACGGTCCGCTGGCTTGAGCCCACTCTCGCTTCTCGCAACATTCAACAAACACGGTCGTTGATTTGCAATCGTTCCACGATCCACTCGGCCCCCCCTCCCTTCCAAGTCCCTCGGCGTATTCGAAGCGTGAAATTCTCCTCGCTCTTGTTTGCGTGCTTCTCAACTCTTGATCCATTTAATTTGTCGGCGTTTGCGCGTTTCGGGTCCGTAAGTCACAGCTGGGAGCGCGCACGGACACACAGACCGCAACCGTCTTCTTTGGGCACGCCGGCACGCTTACCGTTCATGATCCAATTCAGTTTTCTCAGAAAGAGCTCCACGCTGCTTCCGTTCGCCCGTAAATTAGAACCTTGTCTGCTGTCAACATCTACCCTAGATGTGTATGGGTGGATACACATACTGCTGTGTTTTAGAGTTATCTCCAAACAACATGTATTTTATTTATATAAGCAAACTTGTATTGAATCTATATATATAAAAGGGAAATTTGTGAATGTGTGTCGAAATGTTTTGCATACTTCCCGACATGCAACAAACTTGAAATTTTGCATGTGGGTAGTTTCCAGACTGTACACAATGCAAAAAAGAAAACAAATGACTTTCGTATTTTTTTTCGGGGGGGGGGCGCAATAATGGATATATTATTGTATTTTGCACCGTGAGCGGTGACGTCACATCTGTGATGTCACCCGCATGCGGCAGCGTCACGCAGTGTGCCTGCTGACGTCACGCACCCCTCCCCCCACCCTCCGCGTAGGCCGTGTGTTACTCCAAGACAAGAATCCAAGTCTCGGGCGAAGCCGGGTAGCAAAGCTAGTAATATATATAAAAAAAGGCTTTGCCCTATCTGGCATGAATACAGCTATTGAGATGTTCAACCACCAAATAGACGCCTATTACACAACAAAAAAAGGGTCCCATAGATAAAACTAACCCTGAACTGATAGTTGGTTTTTTACCCTTCTATCTGGCAACAAAACTGACACCTTTTTACAAGGAGTCATGTTTACATAGACCACAATACCTGCAGTCATAATGCAAACAAAAAACATAACTCTGATAATGTGCACTGTCCTTGAAGTTGATTGGTCCACACCCGAGACAGCTTTTCTTAGAGCCTAGTCTCACATGGTGTTGGACCAGATGACGCCAAAAGGCGCCTTTTGGCGTCATCTGGTCCAACCCATGTGATTTAATCACAGATGGCCAAATCTTGGATTCCAATGCCAAATCTCAGCAGTGTCTCAGCGCTCCCATCTTTGAGCTAACCCGGTCACACCTCCTCCCCTCTAAAATAAAAAAAAACAAACTCACAGTGGCTGTTGTGCTGATCCTCTTCGGCCGGATGGTGACCCCCATCATCCGTCACAAAATCCTCCACGTATCCCACTCCTTCCACAGTTCCCAACCTCCGCACGAACAGCAGCAGCTCCCGGCTCAAGCCACTCAACAGCGCGAGCAGCATGTCCACCAGGCCTCCCCGCGTCACGTCTCCAGGAGAGGAGGAGGCGTTGCTGGCGGCGGCGGCGGCGTCGTCCCAGCGCGGCGTCCCAGCGCCGTCGTGGGGCTCGGCGCCCCGCAGGGCCTTCACCACCTGCCGCAGCACGGCGTAGAAACCGAAGGGCAGGCGGTCGCGCGCCGCGGTAAGCAGCTCGGCCCGCACGAGGCCGTCCCCGACACAGGCGCGCAGGACCCCGTAGTCCCGGATGCCCAGCTCCGAGTCCATGGCCCGGGCCACCTCCGCGTTCACACCCTGCGCCTCCAGCCACGCCGGGAAGTCTCCGCTCGGCTCCAGGGCAGGGTGAGTGGTGGCAGGAGGGACAGCGGACACCGCACACGCCATCGTTGTCGACTGGATGACGGGAACACGGGAGATTGAATTGCTTAATTTCAGGCTTCTCAGGGTTATTTCACTTCAAGGTGAGCTGCGCTTTGTGTTCAGTTTGTCCTCCCGCACCTCTGATTAGCACAATTGGATACATGCGGTGCGACAGAAGTTCAAGTTAAGGTAAACTGCAAGCGCTACAATTGCTTGCTTACACTACACAGCTGGTGGACACAACTCAAAGATTCAACCGCAAAAACGAACAGCCGTTCATTTTTTCATTTTTAAGTTATTTGTTTTGCAATTAGCCTTTTTTTTACTTAACCAGTTGCTGTGTGTTCTATTTTTTGCTATAGGCATCAGGGCAATGAGAGTTAAAAAAATGTCTCGACAACTTTCGCCAGCAACCACCTCTGTCGGTAGATAAAATATCTTGGGATGGTTGCCTCGACGTGAATTTGAAGCTTCGTCAATGAGAAGAGGAAAGAAAAATAAGTATAACCCGTAAAAACAAAGTTTTTCACTATAAATCCTTTATATGCGTGGCGGCTAGAGTCCTCCCGTCCTCTGGCTTGAGATGGCTGCCACCTATGGGTCAGATGATTGTCTGCCAGTATTAAGCAATTGGTAATTAAATATTTAATTTATTTTCCCTAAACAGTGTAAAATTTGGGGAAACAATTTTCACGAACATTAATTGTCTCGCACAACGAGTCTGTGTGCAAAATGTTAGCTCGATTGGATCACGGGAAGTGGGTTAAAAAACGACCGAAAGATTTGCACGGTCGTAAGCAAGCAAGCAAGCACGCAAGCGAACTTAATATAAAGGATTTTAAAAAGAGGCTTTAAATTCACGGTGAGACAATGTGGCCACCGCACTGCAGCGTAGAACAACATCTAGAACCCAAATTCCTGGAAGAGGTCACATCAGCACTTGTTGTAGAACTCCGGGCAGATATGCGGCGAAAGCAATTCCACCTAATTCGCGTGAGTAGTGCGCCAGATTTACAAAGCGGAATGATGTTTTTGAGCCTCGTCAACTCCCCATGAACCTCATTAACCTCGTCAACTCCCGTTAACCTCGTTAACCTCGTCAACTCCCCGTTAACCTCATTAACCTCGTCAACTCCCGTTAACCTCATTAACCTCGTCAACTCCCCGTTAACCTCATCAACTCTCCATGAACCTCATTAACCTCGTCAACTCCCCGTTAACCCCATTAACCTCGTCAACTCCCCATGAACCTTATTACCTCGTCAACTCCCCGTTAACCTCATTAACCTCGTCAACTCCCCGTTAACCTCATCAATTCTCCATGAACCTCATTAACCTCGTCAACTCCACGTTAACCCCATTAACCTCGTCAACTCCCCATGAACCTCATTAACCTCAACTCCCCATTAACCTCATCAACTCCCCATAAACCTCGTTAACCTCGTCAACTCCACGTTAACTCCATGAACCTCATCAACTCCCCATGAACCTCATCAACTCCCCATGAACTCCCCATGAAACCTCATCAACTACCCCATTAACCTCGTCAACATCCCCATGAACCTCAAACTCCCCATGAACTCCCCATGAACCTCATCAACTCCCCATGAACTCCCCATGAACCTCATCTAACTCCCCATTAACCTCGTCAACTCCCCATGAACCTCAACTCCCCAATGAACCTAATCAACTCCCCATGACCCTTATTAACCTCCTCAACTCCCCATGAACTCCCCATGAACCTCATTAACCTCGTCAACTCCTCGTCAACTCGTCGTCGTCCGCGTGTTGATCTCCACGCGTCGCGGACGCAGCTTCGCGTTTCCCCGGCCGCCGATTCCGCCGTGCGCGAGGCTGGGGACCGCGGCGATTTGCGCCGTCAGCCCCCCGTGTTGTTGCACTTGGGGGGAGGGGGGAGCACGTCCATAAATGACGTCACGCACCTAGGGGGGGGGGGGGGTCAGACATTTGTGACGATGTGTGACGATGGGGGAGGGGGGGGGGGGTTTGGGAAATGTGACGTCACATCAAAATGCGTAACTTTAAATAAATACAGACAACACGTTCTACTTAATTAAATAGACTTTTTGATAAATGTTTTCCCCTACAACATCAGAGTGCAGCGCCACGCTAAATACGCACTACAATGACAATAGTTGAAAGCGATTTGAAGCATGTTTTATATTTTTGGGGGGGGGGGGCAGAGCTTTGTGACGTCATATTTCAGGGGGGGGGTCTGACTTTTAATTACGCTGGGGGGGTGGGGTCAAAAATCGTCCAAAATCGCGTGACGTCATTTATGGACGGCCCCTTATTCTTTTATGGGGGGGGGGCAGAGCTTTGTGACGTCATATTTGAGAGGGGGGTCTGATATTCTTACCGAAACACCTAAGAATATGAATCCTTGCAGTCACGAAAGCTTCAAATCTAGTGGGGTCTGACTTTTTGTGACGCCGTGTGACGATGGGGGGGGGGGGGGGGGGATGTAAAAAATCGCCCAAAATCGCGTGACGTCATTTATGGACGGCCCCTTTGCGATTATCGGAGAGACGGAAATTCCTCTTTGGGGGTCATGATGATGATCTCCGTTCGTGATTTGAAATGTAACGCAGAGACAGCAAGGGGGGGGGGGGGGTGTGTGTGTCATCAATGTCAGATCTCGAATCGGAG